ACAGAAGAGCAAACTGGAGGGAGAGGGGTGGGCAGGGAGAAACATGCAACAACAATGAATGGAAACCCAAAGTCTTTGTAAACGTTTATTAAAATTAATTAAAAAAATCCCAACCAAACAAACCTCCTGGAGTGTCAGCTTTGAGTTGATTCTGACTCGATGGTAAACAACAACAACAATAACAACACTATAACCACTACTACTGAGTAGCTTCTGATTCATAGCAACCCTGCAAGCCAGAGTAGAATTGACTCAGAGTTTCCGAGGCTGTCAATCTTTACGGAAGCCTCATCTTTCTCCCATGGAGTGACTGGTGGGTTGAAACCACTGATTATTTGGTTTGCAGCCATAACCACAGTGTAACTGGAACTTTTTCAATTATGCTTTCAAATTAAAAACACATTAGTGTTGAGTCAGAATAAACTCATAGCTGACCCATCAACAGGTTTTCAGAGGCATTAAATTACACAAGGGGAGTTTGATTGCCCGTCTATTTCCCTTCAAAGCAACTTGTGGATTTGAACTGCATGCCTTTGGGCCTCACAATTCTTTACCACTAAGGCAATATTTAATCCAAAAACTTGATGGGGAAAAAATGAAGCAGTTTGCTTCCATAAAGATTACAGACAGGTTTGGAAATGCTCTGGGATAGCTCCATGCTGTCCTATCGGGTGATAGGACATGAGTCAATTATCAACTTGATGTCAAATGCGTTATTTACTACTGAGGATCCAGCTCTGACTTAGTTTAGCTTAACTCAGATCTTTGAGAAGAATTTGCCTGTTGCCTGTTCTTGACAATGATTGGTCCTTTGGCAACGACTCCATGGAAATCAAAGAGCATAAAGCACAAACCATGGTATTTCCAGTTACATCATATGCATCTGGGAATTGGACAATAAATAAGTAAAATCCAAAAAGACTTGTTAGCTTTGAATTGCTGTGTTGGCCAAAGACTGCTGACCACCAAGAGAACAAACAAGTAAGATCTCAGAAGAAGTGCAACTATGGTGCTCCTTTGAGATAATGACACCAAATTTTCATCATACAAACTTTGGACATGCTGTCAGAAGAGGTCAGTTCTTTAAAAATCCATCATGCTTGGAAAAGTAGAGGGTCAGTGAAATACAAGAAGGCTGTCGAGGAGTGTCGAGGATGAGTTGACTCAGTGACTGCAACAATGGACTTAAGCATGACGGAGAGTCTGAGGATGGTGCAGAAATAGAACAAAACGAGAATTAACCAGACCTAAAAAAATTGTTTGGCTACAGCCTTAGTGCCAATGAGGAGCTGAATGGCATCCATAAACTGCAGATATGGAGAGCAGAGCAACCAGAAACAAGCCTGGAGGCCAGACAGAGGGATATGATTGTTTAGGCAACTATCTAACAGCTGCTGAGCCAAACCATGACATTTTAAATTCCTTCTTATGCATCTGAGAGATGGACAATGAGTAAAGGAGATGGAAGAAGAATCTCTGCCTTTGAATTGTGATGTTGCAGAAATTGTTATTAGGTGCCATCTAATCGACTGTAACTCATAGTGAGCCGATGAACAGCAGATCTGAGCTTGGCCCTGTCATGTGCCATTCTCATCATCTCTGATATACTCAAGTCCATTGTTACAAGCCCGGTGTCAATCCATCTTGAGAGGCATCCTTTATTTCACCGGCCCTCCACCTTTCCAAGCGTGATATAGTTTTCCACAGACTAGCCCCTCCTAACAATATGCCCCAAGTGTATGAGACAAAGCTCACCACCCTTGCCTCTTTGGAGCACCCTGGTTGCACTTTCTCCAGGACTTTTGTTTATTCTTCTGGCTGTCCACAGGATATCCAGTACCTCCAACACCACAGCTCAAAGGCATCAATTCTGCTTCTGTCTTCTTTATTCATTGTACAACTTTCAGATGCATAGCAAGTAATGGCTCCTTAGCACCTTGGAGAGGACCTTGACAGCAGATTGTTCCAATCCAACATGCCTTTTGATTTCTTGACTGCTGGTAACAAGGGTGCTGAGAAGAGCACTGAATAGATTATGAACTGCCTGAAGAACAAACAAATTTGTTTTGAAGGAAGTACAACCATAGTGCTACTTAGAAGCAAGGACGGTGAACCATGGTCTCACTTACTTTTGACATATTTTCAAGAGGTTCCAGTTCCTGTTAGAGAGACATCATTCTGAGAAAGATAGAGAGTGGCTGAAGCAAAGAATATCAGAAATATGTGTATTTGCATTTTATAGACTATGTAAAGGCATTCTTCTGTGCGTGTCATATGAAATTATGGATAACATTGTGAAGAATGGGAATTCCAGAACATTCTAGAGCCTGTGCATAGACACCAAGAGGTAAATTTTCAAGCAGAACAAAGAATACTACATAGTTTAAAAGAAAGCAAACTGACTAGGCTGTATCCTTTACCATACTCATTCAATATGGTAATCAAATAACCTAAGACGCTGCTTTGTAAGAAGAATAAGAATGAATGCAGCATCAGGATTGGAGGAATACTCATTGACAACGTGTGGTATGCAAATAATGTAACCTTGCCTATTGAAATTGATGAAGACTTAATTAGCTCTCATGAATTAGTGACAAGATGTGCTACAATTCCGAAGGTGAGTGGTTTGAGACCACCAGCTGCTCTATGGGAGAAGGTTGAACAATCTCCTCCCATTTGATTAACTGTCTCTGAAAACCTGCTGGAGGGTCGGCTATGGGTGAGTTTCAACTCTGTGGCGCATAACAACAACAATTAATAGACAAGAAAGAAAACAAAAACCCTCACAATTGGGCCAATAAATATTATCAAGAAGTACTGATAAAAGATTGAAATCATCAAAGGGCTTTTTTTTAAACAAGAATCCATTACTTTATAAGTAGCAGTCAAGAAACCAAATAATGTATTGCATTGGGCAAATGTATTGCAAAATACCACTTTTAAGTACTAAAAAGCAAAGCTGTCACTTTTGAGAAGTAAGTGTACCTGACTCAAGTCATGGTATGTTTTAATTATTTCAAATGCATATGAAAGTTGGACAGTGACTAAGGACTGCTGAAGAATAATCGATGCCTTGAATTAGGAGTTGGCAAATGTTATTGAGTACCATGGATTGCCAAAAGAAGAAACAGTTTTCTTGGAAGAAATAGAGCCGGAATACGTCTTAGTTTTCTTGTCCCATTCTTTGGGACATGTTATCAGAAGGGGCCAGTCCATGGAGAAGGACTTGATGCTTGGTAGAGAGTCAGTAAAAAAGCAGAAGACCCTCAAGGGGACGGATTGACACAGTGGCTGCCACCCGGGGTCAGGGGTTCAAGCCCAGTGGTGACTTGGGGGGGGCAGGGCTGGACAGTGGTTAGCTCTGCTCTACACGGGGTTTCTCTGAGTCAAAATCTACTTGACGAGTTGAAACTATGAATTGCTATGGCATGAAACTTACCTAATGATTCACTCTGGAGTTACAAACAATCTCACTTTTCTGGCATCAGTGTGTGACAACATACTAGAGTATTGCCAGTCAGGGAAGTTCACCCAACATTCAGAGTTTTTACAGAAGCTCTCTCATGTAGGCGTGACTGATTGCCCACATGGCTGTTCTCAGTCTCCAGCCTCTTTGAAATTTGGCTGGTGCTCCATGGCCCAAAGTTTCTACCCAGTCATGTTATTGATCTTCCAGAAGTGGCTAGTCCTCACCCTAAGGCCATCCAACGAGATCATCTCATACCCCAGACCATAGTGATAAGTACCCAAGCAAATAAGACATGTCTATCAAGACCATTAGGTCTGCTAGGAGAACAAACAGGTTCTTCCTGGAATGGGTGAAACCAGGCTGCTCCTTGGAGGCAAGGATTTTGAAGCTTCATCTGACCTGCTTTGGACCAGTCCTTGGAGAGGGACATCATGCTTGGAAGGGCGGAGGGACAGCATAGCAGAGGAAGACCTTGGATTAGATGGATTGGCTCAGTGACTGCAGTAATAAGAGTAGATGTGTGTTTGTTGTTGTATTATGTGTCATCGAGTTGCTTGCATCTTACAGTGACCCAATGTTCAACAGCTCCGAATCATGCTCTGTCTTGAGGTAACCTCATAGTCTCTGACACATCTACCCTCAGTATTATGTCCTTTTCCAAAAAACACCCTCTTCTAGCAACATACTCAAAGTGTGTGAGATGAAGCTTCACCATCGTTGCCTGTAAGGAACACTGGCTGCTCCAGTGAAAGAGAGAAAAATCCTGCTGCGTTGATCAAGAGGAAATAAACGTCCTCCTGGGTGAGGCACAGGTTTTGCATTTACCGTAATCAAGTGCCAGGGTTCTGCCTGGAGACGTACCCCACCAGCATCTTGGCTGAAAAACCGTCTCATGACTCCCAAAAGGGCATAAACAGCATAAAGTGATGTTTGAGAGCTGGTCTGCAGAGCCAACACTTGGGAAAGTAAAGGACGTGTAAATGTTTCATCAGTTTCACTGAGAGCGCCTGCTCTGGCTGAGAGCCCATTAATAAGTCCAAGTGACTCAGGGGCAGGTATTGTGCCTGTTACTATAGCATCACCTTGGAAAGGATCCCGCCACAGCCTGAGCTCCAGAAGGCCAGGAGGGGCCGTGTGGTCAGAGCAGCAGGAGGAGCTGGAGACTGGCCACAGATGCTGGTCTCAGGACACTTCGTGGGCTGGAACCCACTGTAGCTCCTCCAGCTGCAGCCCCTGGGTGGGAGAGGGGCTGTGCTGAGTCTGAGAGCTGCTGCCTGAGACAGCGGCCACAAGCTGCGGCTGAGCCTGGGCTGTAGTGAGGGGCTGAGTTTCCTTCCAGACACCCCTTGGCTGTTTTTGTGAGGAGGCGGGTGTCTCATCTTGCAAGATCTGGACTGGATCTCACCCCCCTTTTTGATCTTCTATCCTTACGTCTATGAGAACTGACATCAAGGTGTTCAGCAGAGCAGGCAGAGCGGTCCCACTGCCGGGGATGAGAAAGGATGACAGTTGCTGAGACTGATGCTTAATAGCTCAAAGGTACCCCTTTGATTTAAAAAAAAAAAAATGCCTTTTAAAGCATTTGATACCTTCAAAGAAAAATTTGTAAAACCTGGGAAGGAAGGAGTGAAGAACGTCGTGGGAGATTCGCTGGGGATTTTGCAAAGGTAAAGTTTGAATGCTAACTTGCAGTTTATTTCTGAGTTTAGCTTCGTGTTGTCAATGAAGTATCGTGTTTTTAGAACGACATCAGTGGACAGGGAGTGGGTTGAGCCTCTTCCAGCTCCAACTGTCTGTGCCTCGAGGAAGAGCAGGTGCATCTAAAGTGTAGGGTTGAATTAGGAAACAAGGAATTCACTACAGGAGGAGGATTAACATTCACTGTGGATTGGGAGATTGCACATATTGTACAACACTGAGTTAGAACGCATGGAGGAAGGTAGTGTTTCACATATATTAAATAACAATGACAAGTAGATAGATTGCTTTGAACTGAAATACTGAAAACTAAATGTGAGAATGTTAGCTTGTTATATGAAACTACAGAAATTGTTTCCTAATTGTGTGATTTTCAAAGAGAAGGTTAACCACAAAATAGCTTGAAGAAGGTAACTAGGGGGGAAAAAAATCAGTATTCTATAAAGCAGAAAAACTTCAGCTGGGTATGGAGGAAAGATGTTAAATACTATCAGTGAACTGAGTGTAAACTGAAGAATGGCACTTACACACACACATTTGCCATACAAATGAATTGGTGTGACATTGTATATTGTGATTTTTAAAAAACACAGTGAAAGCCTGCTTAGACTTTAGAGATGAATTAATAAGTGGTTTTGATATAGAAGGTAAAACAACATCTCTCTCTGATATGAGTAAGTGTGAAAAATGTGCTTGCTAGTTTTTTATGCATTTAAATTAATATTTCTAATCCTAGCGAGTAAAAGAGCCACCTGACAACTTCGACTTTTTATCTATGCTGTCACTTAAAATGAAAAAAAAAAACCCCAAAAACAAAAACAAAACAAGCTTTGCAGTTAAAAGACAATGTAAAAAAAAAAAGACAATGTCGAGGCAGACAGATCCATTCTGCTTCTTATTTATAACATACATGTTTCTGTCAGTGTTCAATTTTCTGTTGCATCACTTTCAATGAGTGTTCAAAATGAAGAGAATTGGGAGGGGCGTCTTAGTTGCTCAGTAATTAAAACCGAAACTATTTCCATCAGACCCCCAGTGAATTAGCATGTCCAGTTGAAAACCTAGCCCAGTAGGTGACAGACTAAACCGCGCCCACACTAGAGATGATTGGAATAAAGCTTTATTTCAAGTGCCTTCCTTCAGCTTCTGCCGAGCAGTCCCCAGGAAACATCCTATTATGGGGCAGTGCATCTGATTAAAAATGCAACAAGAAAGCACAATAGCTTAATTGACTTATTCAAGGGAAGACAAAGACATCTGACAAAGTCGGGGAGAAAACCATGAATTTGGATCATAGTTATCCTTTTTTTTAAAAAGTATATATATCTTCTTGAATAAATTTGACGACAGCTATATTTAGGGAGCTCTGATAGTGCAGTGGTTAAAGGGGTTCAGCTGCTGATTGCAAGGTAGCCAGTTTGAACCCAGAGTTGCTGCTCTGGTCAAAGATATGGCAGCCGGCTTCTGTAAAGATACACAGCCTTAGAGTACCTACAGGGCAGTTCTCCTCCGTCCTATAGGATCAAAGGGAGTTGAAATAGTTTTCACCACAGAGAAATTGGTTTTGGCTTATAAATATCTTCTTGTTGTTGTTATGCGCCTGTGACTCATAGTGACCCTACAACAGCCCTAAACCCTGCTTCTATTCTGTGCCAATCTTATTGTCTCTGACACACTTACCCCCATTACCCCAGTCACTGAATCAATCCATCTCATTAAGGGTCTTCCTCTCCTTTGCTGTCCCTCCACCCTCCCAAGCATGACGTCCTTCTCCAAGGACTGATTCCTCCTTGCAACATGCCCAAAGTATGTCAGATAAAGCTTCAGAATCCTTACTTCCAAGAAGCAGTCTGGTTTAACCCTCTCCAGACAGTAAAAACCCCACCAAACTCTTGAAAATTTCCTTTTCAAAATAAAACTTTGCTTTTGAAGTTAAATTTATTTTTTGATAGAACAGATACCCTAAAAACTTATTTTACTATGCTTGAATTCATATGCTTGAAGATACTTCTGTCCATCAAAGGATTTGCTTGGTAATTTCCAAATTAAAATTTGAACTGGATCTTTAGAACACTCTTCTCAGAATTATATCATAGAATAGTGGAGAAACAGTTGATGGAGACAATGCTTGAGGTGTAGAATGTACTAAACAGACACTTAACGGGAGCTCTGGTGGCCTAATGGGTAAGGACTTGAGCTATGAACCAAAAGGCGCAAGGTTCAAATCCATCAGCTGTTACATGGGAGAAAGATGTTCAATCTCCCCCTGCTGATAAACCGCCTCTGAAAATCCTCTGGAGGGTCCACTCTGAGTGAGTTCTGACTCAATAGTTCTGACTCAATAGTACAAAACAACAAGAACTACTACTACTAGAATTTAAGAGTAATGAGAGCCTTAGTAATGTAATAGTTAAGGATTTGGCTGTTAACTGAGAGGTTGGCAGGTCAAACCTACCCAATGGCTTTGAAGAGACAAAAAAAGACTGCAAAGCATAAAGTATATAGCCTTAAAACCCCGATGGGCCAGTTTGACTCTGTCTTATTGGGTTGCTATGAGTTGCAAGCAATCTGTTAAAGCAAAAACAAATAAATGCTGGAGCTGTTGTTATTTCTCTCACAAACACAGGTGACTTTAGGTAAAACAAGACCTCATTTGAATTCTTTTAGAGGAATGAAAAGAAAGGCATGGCCTGCAATTCACATTGATCCTTGGCTTTCATCTTTGAACTGGGCGCTCTGTAATGGGCTCTTCCAGCTGCCTTCACTTGGTGTTAATAATAGAAGAATGAATTATTAACCTCAAGACTATGAAGGAGATAATGACACATCTTATCAGGCAAGGACTGAATACGTTTATTGCATGTGAAGTGACTTTCCAGAAACCCGAGTAAGACTTTTGGAAGCCATTCCCCCATCTTGTTAATTACCACAAAAAATCATTGACAGGAAAAAAAAAAAATCAAGAAGAACAGATTTCTGTTTGGAAGGGATAGAGCATTTGGAAGTTACAGAGTCCTCTCCTTTCTCCCTTAATAGGCTTTGTAAATCATGGCTGTCTAACCACATTTGAAACTGAGATCATCATAGAAATGGAATTCTCCAGATGCTTTTGACCATCAGGTGTTCCTGGTTGGGAGTGGCAAATCAGCCGGAAGGCTTTTAAGAGCTCTCGCAGGAGCTGATTAGACACAGGCATTGTTGGCCTTTCTGGAGAACAGTGTGGTGGTACTTTTTAGGTGCCTTCACGTTGCCTTTGACTCAGTGATTCTGTGAACAGTAGATTGATTCTTTCCCTATCCTGCTCTGTCATCATGATCTCTCAAATGCTCACGCCCACTGTTAAAGTCACTGTGTCAGTTAATCAGATTTTTTGTTGTTATGTGCTGTGAGTTGGAACTGACTAGCTGGCTGTCCAGTGGGGTTTCAAAGGGTGTAAAATGCATGGGAGGAGATTGTACATCTTTCTCCCTTAGGGCAGCTGATAGATTCAAACTTCTTGCCTTCGGGCTAGCAGCACAACTTCTTTCCACTAAGCCACTGGAGCTCTCTATCAGCTATTGTTGTTTTTGTTACATTTCATATTGTTATGTGTTGTTGTAATGCACCATATTGACTACAACTCATAGTGACCCTTTGAACAGTAGCTCCAGATCTTGCCCTGTTCTGAGCCAACCTCAACATCTCAGACACACCTAACTCTATTGCCACAGTCACTATGTCAATCCGTCTCATCAAGGGTCATCTTCTCCTGCACTGACTCTCTTTACCTGTCCAAGCATGATGCCCTTCTCCAAGGACTGGTCCTTCCTGACAACATGCCCAAAGTATGTGAGACCAAGTTTCAAAATCCTTGCCTCCAAGGAGCAACTTGGTTTTACCCTCTTCAGGACAGACCTATTTGTTCTCTTGACAGTCCATGATATGTTCAATAATCTTCTCCAGCACCACAGCACAAAGGCACCAATTCCTCTCTGTCATTCTTATTCACTGTCCAGCTCTCAGGTGCATAGTGAACAACTGAGAAGATGTACTTTAGTCTATAGACTGTCATCTTGCTTTTTAGCACTCTGACAAGGTCCTTGACAGTGGATTTTCCCAATGCAACTAATATTTTAGTTTCCTGACTGCTGACCCCAAGGGTGTTGATTGTGGATCCAGGCAAGACAAAATAGTTAACAACCTCAATCTTTTCTCTACCATGAAGCTGCTTATTGGTCCAATGGTAAGGCTCTTTGTTTTGTTGTTTTTGGTTTTTTTTTATGTTGAGAGATACAAGTGGTATAGAAGACTGCAGTCCTTGACCTTCTGCAGTAAATGTTTTAAGTCATCCTCAGTTTTGGCAAGCAAGATTGTGTCATCTGCATGATGCAGATTGTTAATGAGTCTTCAATCCTGCTACCATACTCGTATAAAGTCTAGCCTCCTGCATTATCTGTTCAGAATATAGATTACGAAGGTATGGAGAAAGGATACATCCCTGATACACTCTTCTTGATTTTGAACCATTTAGTGTTCCCTTGCTCTATTTGTACAATAGCTTCCTGATCTATTAGATAACAATAGGTAAACACACACACACACACACACACACACACCCACCCCAGGAACAATTAATCAGGTAAAGGCACAGTATTATTTTGTTGGGTTCGTTTGTTATTGGTTTGGTTTTTTTTTTAGTTTTTTGACTATTTTTTGGGGGAAATTGAAAAAATTTATGTAGGTTTGCTTACAAAGCATATATATATATTGTATTTCACACTATTCTTCATCCACACTGTGTTTCATACACTGTGAACAACAGATTTGAACCCTGTCTGATCCTGCACCAACGTTACCATCTCGGACATACTTGAGCCCATTGTTATAGTCACTGCATTATTTCATCTTGTTGAATGTCTTCCTGTCTTACACCAATCATCCACCTTTCCTGGTATGATGCTTTCCCTCCCCAGAAATACCATCTTATAGT